GCCCCCGCCCCTGGCTGGCCAGCCCCCTGGGCCCAGGGACGTGCACCACGTGACAGTTCCCCTCTCGCAGGGCGGCTGGAACAGCGTGTCCAGGGGGGCGCCGAGAGCTACTGAACCAGGCTGTAAGCCCCGTGTCTGAGGGAAACCGCTGCCAGCCAGGGCGTGCGGCAGCCCCCTAGTCCCAGCCACCCTGCTGCGGGGAGCAGGCCCCCCCCAGCCAGTGTTAGTGACGGGCATGCTGGGGGCCCTGTGAGGAGGGGCCAGTGGGGGCCCAGGAAGGGATGGAGAGCCAGGGAGGGGACCCCGTAGGACTCATTCTCCCCCCACCCTGCCAAGGAGGGGAGCCTGTTCCCGGCAGGTGAGTTCATGCTCTGCTCTTTGCTGCCCTTGCGGCCACGTGATGACAGGGCAGGTCGCTGGCTGCGGGAGGGGGAGGCCAACGCGCCCCTCGCACCCCTGCAGACTCGTCTCCACATCCTAGAGCGGAGCCGTCTGTGGCTGGGCTGGATACACCCGCCCCGCCCCCCGTCGGCCTCCTGCTGCCCTTGGGTTGGTCTTCCCCCCACCGGGACGGCCCTGCCCCGGGATGGCTGCAGAGGCTCTGGGGTCCCCTTGCTCTCTGCTGCACGTGTCCTTCCCTTCCCTCCCTGCCCTTGCCTGTCCAGCCACGCTGCCCTCTTGGCCAAGCGACCTTGCGGTTTCACCTCCACCTCCTGCTGTTGCATTGGCCAAAGTGCTTCTCTGTGCCCGCGCAGCACCCTCAGCCTCTGCTCGGGCTCCATGTGACCCACTGCAGAGGCTCTGGGGTCCCCTTGCTCTCTGCTGCACGTGTCCTTCCCTTCCCTCCCTGCCCTTGCCTGTCCAGCCACGCTGCCCTCTTGGCCAAGCGACCTTGCGGTTTCACCTCCACCTCCTGCTGTTGCATTGGCCAAAGTGCTTCTCTGTGCCCGCGCAGCACCCTCAGCCTCTGCTCGGGCTCCATGTGACCCACTGTCCATAACCGGCCCCATCCCAGTGCCGCCCATGGCCCTGGCCCTGCATCCCAGCTCCGCCTGGCCCTGCCGGTGCCTCCCCTCTCCCTCCGCTGTGCTGAACTCCCCTTGTGTTAGTTCATCTCTCGCCTGCTCTGCTGCAGCTTCCTCCCCTCTGGCTTCCCCAGCCCCCGCTCCCCAGACTCCAGCGCACCGAATGCTGCTGCGTCCCATCCAGTGCAGAGCTCCCCTCCCTGCCTCTCGGGCCTTGTTCCGCCTGCCTCCCCTGCCCACTCTGCTCTCTCCTTCCTCGAAATCGTCCCAGCTGCTGTCTGACCCACCCCATCCGAGCAGATACCCGTCTCCCTGCCCCGTCCCTGGATTCCTCTCTGCCACTGCCCCCCCTCAGGAAACAGGCTGGGACACAGCTGGCTGGAAGCTGCCTCCACAGCTTGAGAGAGGCTGGGAGAACAATTTGTCCTGCAAAACTTACCTTGGACCTTCGTTTGGCCCACTCTCCTTCCAGAGAGGCACCAGCTGCTCCGTCCTTCAGGGTGCCGGTCACTTCCCACTGGCAGCCTGAATTTGCCCTGCCCTCCAAAACCCACAAAAGACGTGATGCCAATTTCAAAATCGGTAGGTTAGGTCTAGTGGCAAGATAGGCTCCAGGTAGCAGACGTGAGGGGACCTGGCCAAGGCGTTCCTGGGTGAATGACATAAAACATAGTTGTCAACCAGCCTTCAACAGCCTGACGTGGTCGCGCCTTTGAGTTGCAGTAACAAAAAGAAAGACGCATGGGGATAAAGGAGCGGGGGAGGGGAGGGATCAGCTTGTCTTTCTCATTTCCAGCCCCTCGGAACAGGGAACCGGACAGAGACTGTGGCTGTGAGTTGCAATCTGCCGTCTGCAATCTTCCCAGGCCTGAGCCCAGCCCTTCCGTAGTGCCCCTGCCTGCCTCCAATCCCCAGGGCACAGCCAGAGTGCCAGCCCTGGGCTTGCTTGAGGAGTGCCACCTTATCCTCCAGTTGCCTGGCTTTTTAAGGGTGTGTGTGTGTGTGCGTGCGTGTGTAATGAGAAAATGAGAAACACAAATATTCTTGAAATGCAGTACACACTTGCATCTGCTTATTTTTTCTGCTTGTAAATTGTACATTTGCGCCATCACCTTTAGCTATTCAACCAGCCAGGTTCTCTGTTGCATTTAAAAATTATAGATAACAACATGTGCCAAGGTATTTATACTCTTCTCTTGATCTGACAGCTGCCTTCGCGCTCTGTGTAGTTGGGTGAGAGAAAAAGGATCAAAGCCGACATATTCATGATCTTCGATTACAGATTTTCAAGTACTGTTCTTCCCTTAGCGCTCTTCTCTCCTGGGTATCCTTGTGATACTTGTCCTTAGAGCAGGTTGAACCCTTGAATCACAAACAGAATATTCATTTGGAATTCCCCTTTATTCTCTCTCAAAGTGTCCCTGGTCACAGTGACGTGTTTGTTATGGGTGATCCACTGACAGATCATTTTGACCATTTTTATTGCGGGCTCCAATAAGCGTCATAGAATAATAGGACCGGAAGGGACCTCGAGAGGTCATTGAGTCCAGCCCCCCGCCCTCAAGGCAGGACCAAGCGTCCAATATTTAGATTCCACTCTTCGGGTTCTGTGATCGTTGAGGTAAGCATACGCAGGCTCGCGTTACTAAGGAGCGGATGCCTAAGGTATTGAGGTGTCCGAGTACCTTTGGAAATCAGGCCCTCAGACACTTGGAAATTGTGCTTCCGGTCCTGGGTCTCTTGATGACAATTGATGTTTTGATAGCGATGTCCCTGGGATCAGAATTTAGCCCAAAATGATGACAAGAACTTCAGGGCTATGTTTTCAGAAAGGCTAGTCTGAGCGTTGTCTGTTCAGCCTGGGTGTGCAGCTAAGGAGTCGAGAGTTGACTTTCCTTGCGCAAGTCCACCGTTTGTACATGTGCCTCGGATGCCTCTTTTCAGAAGGTAACTGTGACCTACCGGGCCATGTCTGGGCACAATTGAGGGCGTCAGCTCAGGGTGAATTGCTCAAATCCGGGGCTCCTTACAGTCCCCAGACTGGTGCCCTCTCCAAACAGGCGACAAACCAGTCCCACAGAGCGCTTCAGCTGCCTGCCTGAAGCCTCACGAGCAAAACCTCTCCGGCACCCCAGCAATATCCGTGCCCCAGATGGCCCCGGGCCTATACACAGGTGGGGGGTCCTAGCACCCAATCCCACCTACCCCGAACAAGTTCTGTCCGGTTCCAAGAACCCAGCCACAGATCCCTGGTCAATTTACCCTCTGGACCTTACCCACAAATCACGCTGGGCCAATCCTTTAGAATCTATATCTAAAGGTTTATTATCACAAGCAAGAAAAGCATGAGAGTAAGGTTGTTAAAGGAATAGTACGTTACATGCCCCGAATCTCCCAGTTCTCGATGCAGGCTCTAGCAGAGATGTTACAGCTGCTGGTTTAAAAGTTCTTGGTGCACATCCTAGGGTCAGGATGGGTTCACAGGTCTTCCGGGCTCTTGGATCCCTGCAGTGCTGCCTCTGGGATGAAGTGCTGAGCTGAGAACAAAATGGCATCGACCACATGGCCTCTTTATTCCTCCTTCCTGGCCTCTTCTTGTATGCAGCCCATAACCTGGCCCTCAGCCTCTCTCTGCTGGCAGCTCTTAGGTCTCCGCCCTCCTGCTTTAGGTGTGTCCTTGGCCCATCGAGTGCCATTGTCCCACAGGGCCTCGCTACTCAGCCTGTCCATAGCAATGCTTAACCACATTCAGAGAAATATTCAGCTTTCACACAGATTACAGATTCCTACCTACACACACAGACGTTATACACTCACATAAATAGCGTACACAGGATCAGCAAACAACAAGTTCCCATTCAATACCCCACATGGTCCCCTTTTATACCCTTGTTGGGGCCAGCACCCCCACCTATGGGTGCAGCCATGATCTGGCTGCTTCCCTCAAATTCAGCTAACGTGACAGTAACCACAAGTGGTTAGTTAGTAACTTCTCAGATAATAGAAAATAGAATGATAGAAAATACAAGGGAGGCTCCGACAAGTATTAAAAGAGGGTGACACACATAAGAGAAGCATATTCAGTAGAGTCGAAGCTGCAGAGGATCCTTTACAGGAGATACCTGATACTTGCTGACTCTATTTCTGTGCAACTGACTATTTTATTGCTGCTTACATTTCATTTAATTATGTTTATTGCATAATTAATTGTGTCTGGGCATCTGGCTCAGCATAATTATTATTAGTCCAAATACATAAGAAAAGAAAAGAAATGCTCTAGTAGAAAAGCTATAGTTATTTTTTGAGTCACTCACTGCATTTGGCGTATTGTCCTGGTACTAGTTAATAGAATATAGACAGTAACTCGATTCACTGTTCTATTCTGACCAGCCACTTTTCTATACCCAGTATTAGTTTTGCAGGGATACTTGTAAGATCCACTTAATGGCTGCA